ACCCTTATTTCCAATGAGCTAACTTTTCATCGTAAATACTCTCTTCAAAGTACATATTGTGTTGAACATTAGTTTGTTCTATCGGAAATCATTCATGTTTCTTCGAATGGGAGATCTAATTAAAGGTTGCTTATCCTCACTCTGATTTCATCATCGCTGTGACATGATCTCTTTGCCCATGCTCATTATGAGTTTCATCTCTTCAGGTCTACAGTTATCGCGACGGATTCGCCATGCTTTTCGTATACGATTGGGTGAAGATTCCCCTCGTATACACTCAGGTGAGAAGATTTGCAATGTAGTGTCCGATGCATGTCGATTATTGGAAGACTTCAGGTGGTCGCAATCGCTACATACGGTTACTTTTTCATTTGCCTGATCGGCCGACAACCAAAATTGGACCAGAAATCGATGGAGACGGTAACCAAATGAACAATCTCTCGATAACCAGATGATACACCATTCAGTCTAATTTTAAGGAAATCACTATTCTTTTCCCCATCTTCACGACATTCCAAATGCTTTTCTACCTCGGATGGTTGAAAGTAGGACAGTTTCTGATGAATCCATTTGGAGAGGACGACGACGACTTTGGTAAGTGCACAGACTCGGTACGGCTTCGGCCACATTGGGAGAGATGAAGAAACAACTTAAAATCAAGCATTCTCATTGGAACATCTTAGGCTCTTTGAGCGCAATATTACTTAATATAACAGTTTGGCTGTGTACGCACTTGCGTGCATCAAACGGTACTGCAGTTGTACCAAAGAAAGCCATTGAGTTTTTATGATGTTTCCTGGCAAACTCCTACGCTTTTGTTCAGCCCGGGGTCTTCTTCGACGAGCGTTATAAGTTAGGTGGCCAACTCTGTCCAGGTGAACAATATGCCCCTCCCCCATTAACCGTTAACATCCTCTCCTTCTCTATGCTCTATCCTTTTTTCTCCGATTTCTGGAACCTCTTTGGACCGTCAAAGGACAATTTGTGATAAACGCTCCCATTCAAGCACACACTTCCCCTGCCTGGCAGGCTCCCGCCGAGTTTGGGTATGATGGAGATAACTTCATTATTGCTACCTTAAACCGATATTTGCCACTTCATAGGCTTTTCCTAACATAGTTATGAAATTTTTCATGGAGCACCGCACCTCTAGAGACAGATCCAAGTTATCAACTCTGCACACATCTACTCTTTATTTCCGGTCTCAGGCTGTTCCATAACGAAACTCCAAACTGTTACCCTCGACGTCGCCGGATTTTGCGCGTGCTTTGCGCACTGGGCGTAGATTGCTCAACTAAAATGTGTTTTCGGACCCTTGACCCTCGCCCTCCTCACCCATTCTAAACATCGCCCGTATTCTACAGGAAGTTCTTAGGTAATACCGATACTTGGGTCTGCAAAGAAATGTCTGACTCACATGGGATCCAGCTATCTTGAACTCGGATGTTAACTCTGGTTGTTAGCAGTGAACAGAGAAGCTGAAGTCTTCTACCAACCAAGGCTACCCAAACAATACTGACGTGTAATGAGGGTTGAGGTAGTGGAAATGAAGAGGATCTGAAAACGGCTTCCTTTCAATGTGTGTTTTTCCTTGAAACTTTGGAGATGAAAATGGCTGACCGGGGAAGGCTTAGATAAAGCTCTACCTAGCTGGCTTAGAAATAAAGC